TATAACAGAAAAAGAATGATATTCAATTATGATAGAATTGACAGAACTCATCAAGAATCTATTCGTAGATCATTCTAGAATGCGATTTCCTAATTTGGTATATTCCCAGACTGCAATATGTGTACGATATTCTGCATCAACTCTATACAAATCAGGTACCAGATTATACATATCCTACACATATCGTACACATATCCTATACATATCGGATATCAGATTTGTGTAGGATATGTATACGATTTGTTTTATTTTGACCTGTGCAATGCATAGAAGAAATCTGATTATATTGTATTTTATGAATAAAAATCATATTATATATATGAGCATGAAAAGCTATATAAGAGTGAATTGGCCAATAGTTAATATGTAACATATATATATCTGTCAGTAATATGATCTTGAGAATCACTAGTCAAAGTTTTTTGCAGTTTAATTATTTTATGAAAATAACAATTGCAATTTTATTAAAAAAATAATATATTTTATCATATATTAATGAATTAAAAACCACATTCTTTTATATAATTGGAGTAATACAATAAAAATAAATTCTTGTATTTGAATACATTATTAATTATCTAATATATAGTATTTTTTTAAAAAAATTTTTTCTTCCACACCCTAATATTGAAATTTTTGTTTTACATACATATGTATATACCAAATAAGTACTTGTTATATCCAGATTTTTAATAAGCTTCTGATTGGCTAAAAAATAGAGTACTCATATTGATCATTGCTGTACTGATAAAAAAAATAAGTTATATGTTTGCTGTGTCAGTATAATTTCCTATCTGTTATATATACAATATTAGACAAAATTTTGATCAATAGTCAAGTTGTATAATGAAGATTATTGAGAAATAGATGAATAAGCAAAGATAGACAATATCATGTATATATTGGTCTGTTTTATTATTGGCTAGCCCAAATTATATAGTATAATGTAATTATATAGTTAATAAATTTTTTTTTTGTATATAAGCTAGTTACTAATCAGCCTTCTATCTCTAGGCTATTTTAAATAAAATCACAAATTAATTAAAATATGATATAAAACTACTATACAATAATATGTCATATTTGAGTAGATATAGCGAGATATTGTCTATCTTCACTTGTTCATCTATTTCTCAATAATTTTTGTTATACAACTCAACCATTAGTTAAAAAAAACTTCACAAGCTACAATAGACAATATCACGTATAACTTGTAGAGTATTAATTATATTTGATTACTTGGTCAAGTATTTTATTAGATCTATACTTTTGTTCTATAGATCTTCTTATTCTTCTCTGATAGAACTTTCAGTAGACTTTATTAGATGACCAATTACCTAATATGAGTATAGTATCAGCATTGGTATCTGATTCTTGTACTAAATAGACTGCAATTGCTCTAATGTTCTTGGCTCTGACATTTGGGTCTGTAATCATAAATATATTTTTAATCCAACTTGATATAGTATCTATAGCCACTAGTAAGCAGTATTGGCTGATGATCTTGAATGATCTATATGACCTTTATAACTTGTCATAGGTCATTTGGTTATAACAAAGGTTGATATGACTTTATGACTTTTTAATATATGTAGATTTATAGTAAAAAAAAAATTTTACTAATATTTGATATGACCAATATGACTTATGACCAAAAAGTCATATGAATATATAACCAAGATCATATTGAAAAAATGTTATGACCTATGTCATCGGCCAACACTGCTAGTAAGTGTGAATTAGTTATTAACAAAAATAGAGCGTTAGCATTTAGTTCATTTGTTTTCTATAGTTTTGTATAATCAAATATATCTAGTATAGTAGAAATCGAACATAATAATAGTTTTTCCTGTAGAACTCTACAATAATAGATTTTTGCTTTAACTTTTTTTCTCTATGTGAAATTGAAATCTTGTATTCCTTAGAACTAACTATATTAAATGAGAGCCCATTCTGTAGAGTGTTTATTGATTTTAGTAATATACAGTATAGGTCACTTGGTCTTGATATAGTAGTAATTGCTACCAAGTACACTGTTTTTCTGATCAAGTTTATAATTAGCATATCTTTGTTAGATCCTATTGCAATAATGTGTTTAAGTGACAGGCTATGTCAATAGCATTTTCTGATAGCAGTGAAGATAGTATTAATTTTGCTACAGATAGATGTTGTCCAACTTTTATTCTATTAATTGGTTCGTATACTTCACTAATGGCTATATAGTATATAGCAATAGTATTATATACTATTTCTTCATTACTTATATTGGTTAAAAAATCTAAAATCAGATTTATAGGAAATTGAATAGAATCAACCAACGATTTCTGATACCAAACTAACTATTTTTGAAGAGCTAATCCAATGGTATTGTTTATTAATTTTTTAGTAGCTTCTTAACTATCTTGAAAGTATTTTTTAAAAAACTCTCCTTTTGAGGTTTTTCCTAAGATATAATAAATAAAGATTCTCTACTTCAGATTGCGAATCGGGTATTGTAGACTTGTTCAACCTGGTATGAATAGTCTTTTGTCCTTTATTAGAAAAGGAGTTGATAAGAAGGTCTAGTAGGATCAGGAACTATGATGTAGTTTTTTAATATAAAACTACTATCACAATTGTTGTTTTGTTTCTTATTACCTTGAATAGAATCTTGTATATTAGTATCCAGGATGAGTTGGCCTACCCTTTCAGTACTGACCAGTTCTGTGTTAAAGTATCTATTGCTTGGCAGTCTGGGTTTGAGTATCTCGAGTAATAGTTTGGTAGTAATATATTGATCCTGTTTGCAAACAGGTCTACATGAAATAGGCCTCAGATCCTCTGAATTTTTTAAAAAATCGTTAATTTCAACATTCAATCATACTAATCAAACCTTTTCCTTAAAGCCAGATCTGCTAACCAATTTGTTTTTTCTGGAATATGTTGAGCCATAATTCTGATGTTTTATACTAGACATAGTTGTCAAATCTTTTCTGCTAAAAGGCTAAGGTTTTGAGAAACTGTCTCGCCCTGGTAATTGAGATAAAAGATACATATCATGTTGTCAGTTCTTATCAGTACTGCTTGGTTTTTCAAATCTTTAAGTACTAGAAAGGTATAATAAATTGCTATAAGTTTGCATATATTTATGTGTAGATGATTTTGATAGTTGTCCTAATATCCAGAGAGAAGCCATGTTTCGTAGGCTATACTCTATCCTTTTGTTGATACATCTATATACACTATAGTTGTAGGTATGTCTGGGATTATGCTTGTATCATTCCATTTCTCCAAATTTTGTATCTACTACGTTAGTTGTTAGCACACTTCTACTGGGAGTTTTAGGTAAGAGTCCCAACCTTCGCATTTTAGTGCTGCGTTTTTGTCTCTTAGAAGCACTCTGGTTATTAATTATGCTAGAAAGATAGCTTCAGTAGTTGCTAAAAGCTTTTCTATAATTGCGGCTACCTTTTTTATATATATTGTTGGTTTGTTGCATACAAATTTGTATTCCTTTATGATTTCTGATATCTTGGTTTTTGGCAATAATATTGTCATTAATTTTGAGTTTATTGTAAATTCAAGATACTGAATTTCCTGAGTTGAGATCAGCACAGACTTGTTGTTGTTTATGAGAAAACTGAATTTGGTTAATATTTGTATTACTTGCTTCGTATGATGTTTTGCTTCCTCTTTAGTTGTTGAACAGATTATGATATTGTTGATATAGGCTATTAGCTTTATGCTCTTCGATCTTGTTAATACAATCATTGGTTTAAGTATTTTGATAAATATCTTTAGACTGCTAGTCAGCCCAAAAGATAAACATGTGTAATGATATCTGCATTGTGTGAAATCAAATATAAAATATGATTAAACTTGCCAAGATAATAGAATATGTAAGAAGGCATCTAAGATATCGATAGATATAAAATAGTCAGCTCTTTTTATGATTGATTTTACATGTTCTATAGTATCTATCTTGAAATACAGTATATAAAGTATACAAATTTGTTCAAGTTTTTTAAATCTATGATCACTCTGTTTGATCCTGACTTCTTGGGAATTACAAAAATATGTGATACAAAATATAATGTATTTGCTAAGGATTCTACGATTGTACTTTTCTTTATGAGTTCTGTCAATTCTATCATAATTGAATATCATTCTTTTTCTGTTATAATAATGTCTTCAAATATTGGTTGTATTTTTAAAGAGAGTGGAGAACCCCATTCTGGGGTATAGCCATGTCTTAAAATTGAAGTTATCTATAATAGACCCAATGTATATTTCTATTGATATGAAAAATATGCTAATCTGGTAGCTACTCTTTGCATTAAATTGTTCGTTATTAATCTTCCTGTGTGAGACAGCTCAGTTGCAATACCTGATTATCTCTTTGCTCATTTTCCTGTTTGTTTTGATTAAGATTATAAAACCAGTAGTTGTCTTTTTTATTATAGTTGTTAATTATTATAATGAGAATAAGTTGGTCTATAAAAATTACTAGTGCTGTTTTATTAAATAAAGCACGGTTTTTAAACCTAAGAGCCTGGTTGAGAGATCTGAGGTCTTGACTGAATACTTCCTCGTTCTTATTAGTTGGGTTATAATTAGAAGATATAATTTTAATAGTATTGTTCTGTTTTGTTTTATTGATATAAGATAAAGAGTCTAGTAATAGGGCCTTAGCATTTCTAAAAGATGTCTTTGACATATATACTGATTTGAGAATATTTTCTACTAGATATAAAACCACAAAGGTTTTATAAGATACTCTAAACAAGGTTCTATCTGTTTCTCTTGCATGACTAAGTAAAAACTTCTATATGTATTTGTTCATGAGAGATAGGTTATACCTAATACTTGAATTATGCAGTTTATTTTTAAGTATAGCAGACATTTTTTCACTAGGAAAAATGTTATTTTTATGAATTTTTGTAGGTAAATTAGCCATTTTTTCAAAAGGAGTCCATATTGTGCAGATGTCAATGTTATTTATATAGAAGTCAGAATTGGTATTAATGACACTGGAGTTTGAGTTAATGTTATTAACATCTTTGTTATATATAAAATACATTGTGAGTTTTTTTTTTTTTTTTTTTTTTTTTTTTTTATTATTATTATTATTATTAAGGCTGATATTACGGGGCTATTGCCTTTATTTGTGTTTTTAGTTAATGCATTACATATAACTTGTACAAGGTGAGTATGCAGACTAGCCACATGTGTAACTTTTGGTTACCTAATTTAAGTAGTCCGCCCGAAGGTTCTACACTAGCTACCATACCTGTAATCTGCTAGGAGA